GGGTGCTGGAGAGCTTCGTGGCAGACAAGGACCTGGGGGTGTTGGTTGACAGCCACCTTAACAGGGGCCAGCAGTGTGCCCAGGTGGCCAAGAGGGCCAATGGCATCCTGGCTTGTATCAGTAATAGTGTGGCCAGCAGGACCAGGGAGGTGATCCTGCCCCTGTACTCGGCACTGGTGAGGCCGCACCTCGAGTACTGTGTTCAGTTTTGGGCCCCTCACTACAAGAAGGACATGGAGGTGCTGGAGCGTGTCCAGAGGAGGGCAACGAAGTTGGTGAAGGGTCTGGAGCACAAGTCTTATGAGGGGCGGCTGAGGGAACTGGGATTGTTTAGCCTGGAGAAGAGGAGGCTGAGGGAAGACCTTATCACTCTCTACAACTACCTGAAAGGAGGCTGTAGCGAGGTGGGGGTCGGTCTCTTCTCCCAGGTAGCAAGCAACAGGATGAGAGGAAATGGCCTCAAGTTGTGCCAGGGGCGGTTTAGATTAGATATTAGGAAAAACTTCTTCACAGAGAGAGTAGTTAGGCATTGGAACAGGCTGCCCACGGAAGTGGTGCAATCACACTCCCTGGAAGTGTTCAAAAAATGTGTGGATGTGGTGGTTAGGGACATGGTTTAGAGGTGGACCTGGTAATTACGTTAACAGTTGGACTCAATGATCTCAGAGGTCTTTTCCAACCTTAATGATTCTATGATTCTATGAGATCCCTTTGCATTTTTATATGCTCCTTCTAAATAGCTATGGGGCAAGAAATTACTTTAAGCTATGAAAATTGCTATCCCTGATGTGCTTTAGGAAAAAGATTCTCAGATATTCTCGTAGAAATGGATTTCTCCCATTCACTGTAATGTAACATCTTTGTGGCCCAAGAACTTGGGATTTTGAGAACTCTGTTACTAATGAGAACTGGGAAACATTCACCAGACTATTCTTAAAATACTTTATTTGTACTTGTCTAGAAGATGCAACAACAGGATTTTCAGGGTTCTTCCTTCTCTCGGCAGTGTGTATGTCCTATAATCCAGTTTCCAGAATTAAGCTCACCTTAATGGTCTCTCTTTTGAACAGTTCCTCTGATATTTGGCTTCCTTTTTTATTAGCATATTGGCATTAAGGATTGGGAAAAATGTTTCATGTTTTGTCCACCACTTTTCCAGTACTAATATTTAATCATATTAGAAATGTTACATGTTCGGTGTGCAGGATAGCTATCAAGAGGTCATGCACCAACCAACTAAACTCTGTCATATCTTCCCTTGTATTCAGTGCACCATTAATATCTGTCATATAAACTAAGAATAGGTTTGAGTAGTCAATTAGCTCTGATGAATTTGTTCCCAAATGTTTTGGGCAGAGCTAGATCCCTGTTTAACTCTGGCTATGCATACAGATATTCTTTAAGTTTCTCCGAATTTGTGTTAATCCTCCGTGACACAGAGCTTTGGCTTTGAAGGAGACCCAGGTCCCACCGGTCTAAATGCATCCATCCTCCTCATTCCTGGATTCTCTCCCCTGTCTATGCC